TCTCACCTCCATCTCATGGAAACCAACAAAAAGGGGCAACAGCACCTGCTCCCATCGTCTGTGATGTGTGCTGTCTACACCACCTCCTCTAGGGTGCCATCCATAAGCCTCCATGAGTGTAGTTACAAGGCTATCAGTCTTTCCTATTAGTCTTTTGTAAGAGGTCAGCTAAAGGGAATTACTGCCCACTGCTCTCATACCTTATGCACTCTCTTGGCCTTAGAACTGTGCTCCTTTTGTTCACATCCTCCATTTTTTGCAGCTCCCATTCTGCTCCTCCTTCAGGGCTCAGGTCCAATGCCTGCCCTCTATGACATCCTTCCCACATTGCTCAGCTGAGTACGCTTTTCCTTCCCTGTAGGCCTGTGGCTCCTTGCAATTTTTATGACATTTTATCACTTCCCATCTTGTGTTCTCATAATTTGTATGCTTGGCTCATCTTCACTTATTAAGTATAAACCCCCTGCAGGCTGAGGGTTGGCCATGTACGACTTTGTTTTTCTGAGCAGGTCCAGCCTTAGGAGAAATATGTGTTTGATAAAAAATGAATAAAAACAGCAGAAGGAACATTTCTAATTTTTTTCCCTCCTTAACACTGCCTCAGAGAGAACTAGGTGAGGTGTTTTGGGGTGAGAGGGAAGGGAGGAGTGAGTGAACTACCATATTTATAAGTGACTAATGCTTTCCAAAGGAAATGAAAGATTTGCAGTCATTGCTACTTTGCAGAGTTTTATTTTCCTACTTAGGGGGCCAGCCCTTCAATTTTGCAAACTGAAAAATAAGTAAAAGCAGGCACCACATGTAAGGCGGTCCCCATGGTCTTGGTGGCTATTTTTGGGTCATTGTAACATGGCTTCGGCAGTGAAATGCTTCTCCAGCTCAGAGTTATTGCCTTTCTTTCTGACTCATGTTTGTTTCTCACGCTCCCTCTGGCCCGAGCCCATGTTCTTTACCTCACTCCTACTATGCCATTTCCCCATTTCACTATCCAAATTGGTACACTTACCAGCTGACCCATAGCCACTACCCTAAAACATCTCCATGGAGATCCACAGCTTATGGAATTTGTTGATGGCCATCTGTGGCTGTGAGGGTTTGTGGTCCCCAGCGCACTGTGCAAGGGTGGAGAAAGCAGATAGCAAAGAGTCCAAGCTCTCCTAACAGGGCAGCTTCCATCAACATGACAACATAAAATGCTGCCCTCATGTAAGTGTATGTATTTCATTTGTTCTAGCAAATAACCAAATGCTGATTTTGTATTGCTCATTTGTGATAAAAACCAAACCCCAAATGACCATAGCTCCCTGCTGGGCATTGGGGCCCATCCAATCACATTCTTGCTGGTGACAAGTATCTGTCCCTTCTCTCTACTCCCTCCTTTCATGTTACTTTTGTGTCCAATATAATTACAGACCTGGGAACAACATTGTGAAAGATTTTGGAGTGCAGAGGGTAGGTCAAGCTTTCCCACATGACCACCCATCCAGCATTTAGCCAAGTGATTTTGCACACACTGAGAGTTGAACAAATACCTGACCGTGTGAACACATGGAAAGATTTGGAAAAAGAAGACTTTGGTTTAACTTGATTTAGCCCCAGCTTTGCTACTTTCAACCCCAACCTCCACCCTAGGACTTTGGGCACATCATGCACCCCACTGGAGCTTCAGCTTTCCAATGCCAGGTAATTGCCAAGTTACTTCCCATTGATTACATGCTCTGATTTTATTTGTGGATTCATTGATGTCATCATCAGTTGCCTAAAATCAACCTACCTGAGTTACCACAAGTGCCAGCAATGGGCCTACCTCTATCGATCCTCTTCTGCCTAATCTCCACACATCAACCAGAATAATCTTTCCAATTACATTTCTTACATTAGCCATAACAAATCATTCATTCCTCTGCGTGAACTATTTACACAGAAAGCACTTGGTTTAAAAATCTGAGCTTGTGGAGTGAACTTACAGCCTGACTTTTCCCTGTCCCCCAATTCAGCCAGACCCTCAGTGCCTCCAGATCTTTGCAGATAAACTTTCCTCTGTCTGAAAGTCTTTTCCATGTCTCTCTTGACTTGTTCATATTCATTTTGGGGTCTCAGCTTAGACAGCTCTTCCCTTTAGGAAGCCAGCCCTGAACATCCTTGTGTGTGCCTGCAGTACCTCAGCCCTGCTACAGTCTGACCACCTGCCTCCTATTGTGTGCACTCCTCCTTTCTAGACAGTCTCTGAAGGCAGCAGATTTCTTGAATATCACTGCATTCTCAGTAGCTTAGCACAGTGCCTGACACTGATAAATAATTGGATGGACACAGGATGGACCCATCTCCATTCCCACCTGGCTGCACCTTCTTTTTCTAGCCTCCCAGTTCCCTGTATGATTGGAACACACACCCAAGTACTGACAGCCAAGCACCCAGCCATTACTTCTCATCTTTGTAGCCACTATAATCATCTCTAGTAATGGCTATAGCCTCACATGCTCTTCATTCTCTGGGTCCCCAATGACGAAAAGAACAACAAAGTTCAGACATGCGAACTGATACAACTTTCAATTCCTTGGGTAGAAAGCATTAATATGCCAAAGGGGCTAACTTTAAATGTACTCCAAAATTACACTTGACAAGAAAGTACTTATAAAGCCCACCAGAAAACAGAGTGTACAAATTCATGTGTACAACAACAACAAAAATTCATGTGTACAGCCAATCAGCTTCTATTTCACTTCTCTTCAGTACACATGACAGAAAAAATATCTTAAAAAGTCTATAGTCTTACCCCAATCCAAGTCCCAGATACTTTGCCTTTAGACATTCATTCCTTAGTGTCAATTCAGATATGACAAATATGCAGTATACATACTACTCTCATGCTGCTTAAAGGTGCTGCTTAACAATCACATGACATTTCCTTGGTAGGGACTCAGGATCCTTCTCAAGACAGAGCTCTGGACATCAACTACCAGTAGGTCTCCAGCTTAAACCTTGCTCCCTACAAGCGTCCTTAGTTAAAATGCAGAGGCCCCAGAGGCTGGAGAATAGTGTACAGCACTGAAGTCTTAGGGCAGATGTATTGGGCAAGCACTTTCTTCAAGACAGGAGAAGTAAGAAGGACGTTGGCACTTGGGGAAAAGGGGTACAGAAAGATGGGAGTGGATGCTGGGGTCCCACCCTAGGAGGGACCTTTAAGACCTATGGAACCAGTGGCAATTGATTGAGGAAAAATAAAGTTAAAAGCAGAGAGAGATAGAAAGGACACACAGAATAGAATTTTCAAAGGTGGGACACAGGCGACCACCACTCTCTTGTGGGACTTCAAAGAATGGCCGTGAGTGTTTGTTCCACCCAGCTTTTGTTGAAGGCTATTTTCTCATTTAGCTGAAAGAATAAGCTGAGGAAGAGAGTAAAAACATCAGCAGTTTCTCTGAGTAAGCATGTTTAGTTCTTATTCTATCTATAATCATTAACTTTAAGCAGCCTTGAGAAATCTGGAACCTGAGCCTTGTCTAGGAGCAGCTTCTTGTTGGTGGTCATGCACACAGATCCCTTAGGGGAGGTAAGAACCCTCTAGTTTCTCTGTGGAGCAGATGCAGTGGTATCAGTTCCCCTTCTCTCTACCCTGAGGCATTTCCCTCTCTGGTTAGGGTATAAGCCCTCCTGCCCACATCTTGGGGTAAGCAGTTCCCTTGGTCTCTGCCCTGGCCATTATACAAATTCCCACAATGGGAAGGTTGTTGACTGTTGGACCTTGCTCCTGGAAGGTTGTTGACTGTTGACCCGGCAGGGGTCCTCCTGGTTAATGTTCCTTCCCAGGGCTTGTACACAGCTTCTGCTGCAGCCATTGTTCTTCAGAGTGCTTACAGACCCAGCAGGGGTGTTTCTAAGCTGTATCCCTCACAGGCCAGGCTTCCACTGAAAGCAGAAACTGCTCAGACAAGTAATTTTAGTTTAAAGGTAAGCTAGCTAAACTTATTATTCTGCCTTGCTCAGTTTATTTCTCTGTTCTTCCTCTTTTCTGGGGATGTTTTCCCTTGCCAAGAATGGGGCCTTTGGTCCTTGTCCTCCCTGCAAGTGAACACTGCAAAAGGAAGGAAGGACTGGGGAGGAACCAGCACCTGGGTTCTGGGCATCACTTATTTGCTTTAAGACAAAGGCTGGTGGAGTCTATTAAATAAGCACTGCCAGAGCCCAAGGGCTTTGGAATGATTCTCTCAGCTTCTGTCCCTGACAGAGCACTGTTACTGAGTTATACTCCCCTCAAGATGGGGATCATGGGGATTCTACAGACTCACACGAATAGCTTTCATGAGTCTAGAGAAGGAGCAGTCATTAGCTTCCAATCTGCAGGTCCTTACTCGAATGACCCTTTCAGGGGGAGGAAAGCCATGAGACCAGATGAAAAGGCTGCAGAGTAGAAAGGAGGTTTCCAAGTCACTGGGTGAAAGGTCAGCATATGCCCTTGGTTATAGGTCACAGAGTAGCATTTCTGAGAACGAGTGTTGCAGGTGGATGAATGATGAAATCTAGACCAGCCCACGGAGATCATCACTCATGCAATTAGCCAAATGCCTCTGACTTCAGATGTGGGTGCATATAAGTACTGATGATATAGGCAGCGGAAGTGGACCAACCTAGCACACTCCACTCCCTAGATGCCTTTTTAGATGGAATATATTTAGATGCCTCACAGATCGTTCAGCCATTCAACCATTTTAATTGCAAATAGAACCAAAGAGCAACACTTTCTTGGGAAAGCAGGACATGTAGCTTTGCAATGATTACTTCTACATGAGAAAGTGCCCTGCTGTGTGTGTGTATGTATAGGCACATGAGTATTGAAACCCAATAATGAGATTCCTTCTTACCTGTGAATGCAAAGATAGTTAAATCCCCATTTACACCAAGATAAATTGATTCTGAAAGAACACACATTTCTGGAACATATACACTTTGTATGGTTGTGAATGACAAACCTAAGTTGACATTCTTTATGCAATTCTTACCTACTGATGTAAGCAAGGGCACTGGCAGCCAACAAGGAGAGTCCTATCTTCTTTGATGGATAGTGATACGGCCTGAGGATGACTTCAACCAATGAGACGGGCAATATGCTAGTGTGCTGTAGGAGAAAGGATGGCAAGTCAGAGCAGCAGGTGCCCTGGGGCCTACAGTGCCCCTAATTCTCTCCCCTCCCCCAATCCACCTTCTTACACATTGCCAGATGAAACATTCCAAAACTTGGCTTGGTTGGTGCTCCTCCGATGTCCCAGGACCTACAGTGTCTCCCTATTCCTGCCAGGCTGTCCCAGATACCTTTGTCTGGCTGCTGAAGCTCTTTGTAATGTGCTATTACCCTCTCTGGTCCTGCTAATTGTCCACTGCTTCCCTCACCTAAAAAACACACCCATGCAATAAACACGCACACTCACACATGTATACTTGCATACATAAACACATGCACACACATGAGCACACGTATACACACATCTTCCCTTCCACCAGAGCAAGGCTGCTCCTTCACTCTCCTTTGGACTCAGTGTGTGGGCTCCCACATCCAGACTCCTGTCCCTGCGTCCTCGCCCGAAGAGCACTGTGTCTCCTCTCCCGGTGTTCAAGTCACCTATGTTCTTTGCAGCCAGCACCATCCCCCATGAGTCTGTCTCTGAATTTTTCTCTTGCTAATTTCTCTCACTCGATTCTAGTGCATTTATATCCTGTGCCACGTAGTCTAGCACTTACGGTGTATATTTGTAAGCTCTGGAGGGCCAGAGAACACGTCTTACCTCATCTCTGCACTTAGCTCCACACAACCGAACTCAGTCCTGCTGAGGGCGGTGGGTGTGAGGGCATGCGTGAGCCTCCCCCTGAAACCCCTACGTCCTCCCCACTCCTTCCCTGCATCACCCCCTCCTCATAACCATCTGTCTCCTCACATCTTCCAAACCCTCAAAACTAGATATTTTAACATGATACGATCAAGGAAACAAATCCTTAGGAATAGTGGCGTTTTCAGAAGCAAATAGTGCTGGGCCGCACCCCCTCTCCGTCCCCCCCTTCCTTGTGGAAGCTGACCAGGGAAGGGCCCCTGGAGTGTGTGTTCATTGACTGAAAATATTTATAAAGCTCTTCTGCCTCCATCTAGGTTTATCAGTTACATCGAAGGGCATTAGGATTTTGTGCTGTTTATGGTTACAGCCATCATTCCTCCTTCACCCTTCCTCTCCAAGTTCCTCTCATTTCCTGGCTGCCTCTTTCACCTGCAGTCTTCTGTTCTTAAGCCCCAAGGCAGCAGTGTCACCTACAGCAGTCTCCAGAGCCGGGGAAAGTCACTGTGATTCTATGCCAAGTGACAGGCTGGAACCCTGGGCACTGGCTCCCAGTGGCCTTTGCTGTCAGTCATATAAGCCTTATAGCTCAGGGGACAGAGGCTTCCTCCCAGCCCAGCTAAGCTAGCCAGGGCACAGCTAGGAGGTGACGACCATCCCCAGAGGACAAGAAATGTGACTAGGTCCAAGGGACAGGGGTGTGATGAGAGGGACCAAGTCTTGCCTTTAGGGTCTCACTAGGTGGAGAGGACTTCCTGGGGGGCCCCAGTCATGGCTGAAGCAGGTGGCGCAAAGCAACAAGCAATCTTAAGAGCCCAGAGTGCCCCACATCTTGAAGGAACAGCACAGCAGACAAACTGCAGCTTTTACACAATCTGACTAAGATTGGTCCTGAGCACACTGACCAGCTGGGTAGACAAATGGAGGCACTCACAGGCCCGCTCTCACACCTCGCATCTCTCTGTGGTCTGATGTTAGGCTGCAGCTTCTGAGTCTCTCCCTCCAATAAAGGAGCATGATGTTTAAGGGCACACACAGCGTGGGATCTAACCTTCAGCTGGTCGCGAGACCTCTCTGAACTTTGATTTCCCCAGGTATAAAATGGGGACAATGAACAGCACGTGCCCCCCGGGGTGCTGCTCTAGGATGCAGGGAAGTAATTGTAATATGCTTAGTCCTTGGCCTAGGAGAGCTCTGGGGAGCATCAGTGGTGGCTGTTGTTATGGTCAGTGTGACCGTCACTTTCCTCTCACTGGCAGGGTGGGGTGAAGGCACGGGTCTTGGATACCTGCAACTGCAGGTGCTTAGATGGATCTGGCCTGTGGTCTTTAAGGTGGTGCGCCATGAGGTACAGAGCCCTCCCAGGTCACCCTGTGGCCCAGTCCCCAGCCCACAGCTGCTGCCTACATGCCCAGCTGAGGCCACCTCAGAGCATTGGTGACACTCAATGACTGACAGGGATGTTCTCTTCATCCCTCAGCCACCCAGGCAGGAAGGAGAGGGGGCAGTCTGCCCCTCACAGCCCCTTGGCTCTGCCTGCCTTCACTCTGCAGCAGCTAAAACCATTAACAGGTCCATTATACTGGTCATTGATCTGCCAGCTTTTATTAACCCAGCCTACGATCAGCTGCTCCCATCTTGCACGTTCATGATCATTTGGAACAGAATTCCTGTGAAATAATGCCGTGTGTTCACGTTAGGAGTAAATGAGTTCACGGTGATTAATGCCTTTACAACAAACAACTCAGGAATGCATGACTGCTCACCTCTTAGAGGAGTCTGCCCTTTGCAAGTGACATTCAATTGGATTTCCAAATGAATTCTCCCCGATGGCTTCTGGGAAATGTGCTTCAGTGATATCATTAGTGATGGGCCGTGCACTGTGGCTTCATATCAGCTAAAAGGTCTTTGCAAGAAGCGCATTTTCCAGTCAGAGCGGGGGTAGAAACAGGGAAAGGAGGAAGCTTGCATTCTAGGAGTCTTAAATATTGAGCTATCATGAAAAGCCAAGCGCCAGGCAATAAACCTCCTGGTATTTCAAATGTGCTGGTCTTTCACCCCACATTGCCATAAATCATATAACCCTTGTCCGATGGCACATATTTCAGAAAAGGAAAAAAAGAGAGAAAGAGGAAGAAAAAAATTCAGCATGAGAAAAGTCAAATATGCTTTTTTTCCAAAAAAGAAAAAAAAAATCTAATAATTAGGCTGGGATTGACACAAATTAGAATGCTGCCAAAAATTACTGAAAACAGTGACTCATTCTGTATTTCAATTAACAGTTTCTCAGTTTCCCTTATAAACAGTGAAGCTGACAAAAATTAATTATCTCAGAGGGGGTAAAATATTTCCTTCCAAAGTAAACAAAACATCATGGGCTGAAACAATAGCGTGTGTAAACTGACAGCGTGGAGGGAAGCTATCTTTACTTGTCACTAAAGCCACCGTGTGGGTAAATCTTCCTTTTACTGTCTCTTTCCAAATGCACGGGTTAGAATAAGGACACTGATGCTCTTCTCCCATATTTTTCTACTCAATTATATCTTCCCCTCCTGCCCTCCATATAATGCTGACTTTCATCTAAATATCTTGGAGACAGAATTACAAGCTGACTTTCATCTAAATATTTTAGAGACAGAATTATTGATTTAAGTACTAGTATAATAATTGCACTTTGGCATTCTGCTTGCAAAAGAGCCTTGTAAATACGTACTAAAATTTACCAGCCCATAGGACAGTTTTGCAAGGTTGCATGGATGACAACATGGAACATAATGATAGTGACTTAGCACTTGTTTGTACTTAACCTATATCAGTGATAAGTGGCTGCTATAAACAGTTTCCCTGCATGTGACACTAAATTTACAATATAATGCATTTTCCTGACTCTTTTTTTGGGGGGGGGGAAGGGCTAGAGTCTCACTCTATGCCCTGGATAGAGTGCTATGATGTCATTGTAGCTCACAGCAACCTCAAACTCTTGGGCTCCAGAGATCCTCCTGCTTCAGTCTGCCTAGTAGCTGAGACTACAGGCACCCTCCATGATGCCTGGCTAGTTTTTCTACTTTTAGTAGAGATGGGGTCTTGCTCTTGCTCAGGCTGGTCTCAAACTCCTGAGCTCAAGCAATCCACCTGCCTTGGCCTTCTAGAGTGCTAGGATTATAGGAGTGTGCCACCTCACCTGGTCCCTGGCCTGACCCTTGAGAAAGAGGCAAGCCTTACTCACTGAGATAACACGTGGAGCCAACAGGTCTTCACCATTGTGGTGGAAGCTCCAAGGATTGAATCCATAGGTTAGGCTGATCACACGCTCATTTTAAGTTTCTTAGGGTTGCTGAGAGCACTTCATTTTCTATAGTAGAAGAAATTCAGACAGCCTACACATTTTAAAACTCAGATGATATTTAAAATATATGATCTCTGCTCCTTTCCTTTAATTTCCCTGCTATTTATCTTTGTATTGAATTGACCAAGATGGATAAGCCAGCTTCTACCATCTCAAACCAGTTATCCAAAGGCTTTCTCTTTTACTTTATTTATTTAATTTTCTTTCTGAAACAGAGTCTCACTCCATTGCCCAGGTAAGAGTGTCGTGATATCAGCCTAGCTCATAGCAACCTCAAACTTCTGGGTTCCAGCAATCCACCTGCCTCAGCCTCTTGAGTAGCTGGGACTACATTTGCCGCAATACCCGGCTAATTTTTCTATTTTTTTTTTTTTTAAATAGAGATGGGTCTCACTCTTGCTTAGGCTGGTCTCAATCTCCTGAGTTCAAAGAACCTTCCAGCCTCAGGCTCCCAGGTGCCAGGATTACAGGGTGAGTCACTGTGCCCCATCCAGGGTTTCTCTTTTAGATGTTGTTTCTAACAATGAGCTTACACAATACACAATGAGCCCACTTCATATGTGCCTCCATCTCTCTTCCTTTCCTCTATTCAGGCAATACTTGGATCTGAGTTCCTGACATTGACTCTTCCCAAACTGAAGTCCTCTCTCTGACATCGTCTGGTGTGTTTGTGGTACTAATGGAGAGAGATTTTAGAATAAAGTTTTCATGCACTAATAAGATCTAATTTCTGGGTACATTAAGGAGAAGTTTTTGTGTCTGATATTTTCAATATATGTATGTTTTTTAATGGAAGGTTTCACAAAATCTCAGGGATCAACATAGTCAAAATATCAATTAAAATTAAAACTTAAACATAAGTAACATCAGACATGGAAATGGAGGCAAGACACCCCTTAAGAGAAAGCCATTACAGCCAGGCTTGTTATTACACCGCCAGGTCACATT